ATTGAACAGTTTAAGCAAAAGACAAACACAATGAAAACAACAAAGTTTTATTAATTTTTTTTTTATTAATTTAATTAATCAAGTGGCTGGATAGTAGCAGCAGGCATAAACATCAGGAACAGGAACTTTACCAGTTCAAAAATACAAACCACATTATTTGGTTGTTTTAGAACAAAAACAAAGCTTATCTATATGAACCGGAGTCGGAGTCGGTGCATTGTTTGCCGACTCCGACTCCGACTCCAGGTACCCAAAATTTCCTCCGACTCCTCGACTCCGACTCCGACTCCACAGCCCTGATTAGGACCAATTCAAACAATGCTCCACCAAAGGACCAATACATTTTAGTCTTCTAAAGAAAGAAAACCCTGGTTGATAGGACTTCCTGAGGGCTTCATAAGATGATTGCAAGAATGCAGAAAGAACCTGACACTCAAATGGGGGACGGGGAGGAAATGAACGGTGCTGGATAAATTAACCCCAGTTTTAAAGAAACGACGGAGAAACATAACCTTAGTTTTTCTTACAATTTTATTAGCAGGTGTGTAACATTCACAACAATGTAAACTATAGCTTCTTTTAAAGAAAAGGGAGAAAAAAAAGATTCTCAAGAGGCAGTGTTCCAAAAACCTAAGTTACAAGTCTCTAGAGGTGCAGAAATGTGATCAAGATTTTGGCTTCGTCTGCAACCTATTTTCCTAAGGGAAAAATTCTTTACCACTGCTTTAGGTGACTCTGTCAAATCAAAACATACCTTTTCGCCATTCTTAGATAAGAATGCCAGTAATTCAGAAGGAATAGTTAATGGCACTCATCCTTTCTTTTCCAAACCAGCGGGAGATCCCAAACAGCGCAGTGTTTACAGGCGGCAGCAGAGCGCAGAATGCCACTTCAATGACTCATCTCGGCATGTTAGAAATATTAAGACAGCAGAAGAAAATTACTGCCCCCCCCCACAACCCCTTCCCAAATAAGTCCTACAACTCTCACCTTTCTGCATATACCGAAGGAATAATCAGCTGCCAGCTCACACCTGACTGGGGGAAAAAAAATGAAAAGGGGAAAAAAAAAACCATTTCCCAGCAGGAACCGAAATTAAATCTTCTTCTCTGAGAAGAAAAGCAAAATCACGCTCGGCAGAGGAAAAGGAGAAATAGGACACCGAGTGTCCAGTTGGAAAGAAACAAAGCCTTGGAGGAATTTCACCTGGCTTTGTAGACGATTTGACAGTGGTTAATCCCCAAGTTAAATTTGCTCTCCTTTCAGACGATGGCAAATGCGAGGGATTAGTGACCACAGGAAGGGTTCTTCCTTGGCCCAGCCACAAAACAAGCATCTCTTTTTGGTTGCCGGGCGGAGGGGGGTTTGGGGAGTTGGCGCGCGCACCTGGTCGCTGCCTCTTCTGCCCACCTGGCCTCCATTTCTGCTTCCTCCTTCTCAGCCTTCCTTTTTTGTGGTGTACAATATGGTGACCACCGAGGTGATCGCCGTCTTTGAGAACACGTCCGACGAGCTGCTGGAACTCTTTGAGAACTTCTGTGACCTCTTCCGCAACGCCACTCTCCACAGCGAGGCTGTTCAGTTCCCGTGCTCGGCCTCAAGCAACAATTTTGCCAGGCAGATCCAGCGCCGGTGAGCCTCATGCTTTTCTGTTAACCCCCCCCTTCCTTCTGCTCCCCCCCCCCCGGCCAGGGGTTCCACAAAACCAGCAAAAGGGAAGGGGCTAAAGCTAGACTTCAGGTTCAGCTTCCCCCAGATGGACTGGATTTGTCCTCATGTCTTCAAGTAAATGTATCTGAAGGGTGGCCCAGGCTTTGGGTAGCTGAGTCTTATTTATTATTTACTTTATTGGACAAGTGCTGGTCTGAAGTGGAATAGAATAGAATGGAATGGAATGGAATGGAATGGAATAGAATAGAATAGAATAGAATAGAATAGAATAGAATAGAATAGAATAGAATAGAATAGAATAGAATAGAATGGAATAAGCAATAGGATATAGAATAGGATATAGAATAGAATAGAATAGAATGCAGAATAGAATAGAACAGAACAGAATAGAATAGAATAGAATAGAATGCAGAATAGAATAGAACAGAACAGAATTAGAACAGAACAGAATAGAATGCAGAATAGACAGATTGTAGAATAGAATAGAATAGAATAGAATAAGCAATAAGATATAGAATAGGATATAGAATAGGATATAGAATAGAATAGAATAGAATCAGAGTTGGAAAGGACCTTGGAGGTCATCTAGTCCAACCCCCTGCTCAGGCAGGAAACCCTATACCATTTCAGACAAATGGCTGTCCAGTCTCTTCTTAAAAACTTCCAGTGTTGGAGCATTCACCGCTTCTGGAGGCAGGTTGTTCCACTGGTTAATTGTTCTCACTGTCAGGAAGTTTCTCCTTAGTTCTAGGTTGCTTCTCTCCTTGA